CTATAAAAATATTATTATATATATATATATATAAATTATTATATATAAATAATTATTTATATGAATATGAAATGTATATAAATATGTATATGACATACAGAAAATTATTTATTGTATAAACATATATATATATATATATATGTGTGTGTGTGTCTATATAATAAATAATTTTTAATAATATTTATTTATACAATTAAAATATTATATATAAATATAAATTATTTAATAGAATTTAAATATTTTATATATTAAATACAATAATTATTCTTTTTATATATATATAGTTTTTACAAAGATGGACTAAATTTGTGCGTGTGTGTGTGTGTGTATGTGTGTTTGTTAAGTCATTTAAAACATGAAAACGATTCCGCGTCATTCTAAATGAATAATCAATTAAAAGAACATAAGAATTTACAATAAAGAGTCATAATACTTTATGTGGGAGTGTTCTAAACTAATGTTACCAATACGATAAGGGAAAAGGAAAAGGGAATGACATCGAAAGGGAATGGTCAAGGGATAAAGAAAAAAAAAAAGAAAAAAGAAAAAAAAAAGAAGGAAGGGTCAGCGAACAGCATAAATCTTACGACGAGAACTTTGTCGAGTACACGCGACGTATAATTAACGACTTATGGTTTGTTAGAATACTTAAGGATCATTAAAAAAAAAAATATAGAAAACTGTTTTGTCACCTCGATCATTCATTCCTAATCGTTAATATCATAAATTATTCTGACGCTCGTTCGTGTTATGTTTTATCGAGCAGTTTAAAACAATGGAAAATTTTTTTTCCATCGATCGATACACTTATGATAGATAAATCAATTAATTGATCGATAATACGATAAAATCTTTTTTTGTTGCCTTTTCCTCTTTTTTCTTTTTTTCTTTTTTCTTTCTAAATAATAACAACAAAGGACAAACGAAACATTTAATTTCTTTTTTTCTTCTCGTAACAATCGCGAACATCACGTCATTCCTGATGGTTAATGAATTAAAGGTAATATATAAAATTGATGATGATTATTAGATAAAAAAAAACAAGAAAAAAGAAAAAAAGAAAAAAAGAAAAAAGATCAATCTGTTTATATCGTATATAATTTTTTATAGGTTAATAGATTTTCTAATGTTTTTCTTTCAAAGAAAACTTTCGAGAATTGATGCATCGTAAATAGGACGTCCATTTGTCTGACTACTTTATTTTCGTTTCTTTTCATCGAAGAAAATCCATTTCTAACGTCTATGAATTATCGACCCGTGTTACATAATGATAATAATACTTTTTTTTTATTATTATCGATTATATAATTAATTATAATAATATAATCATTATCATTAATAATAATAATAATAATAATAATAATAATAATAATAATAATAATAATAATAATAATAATAATAATAATAATAATAATAATGATTTAAAGTCTCCCATGGAAAAGGTTTTTCCTTAGAGAGGAAGTATCTATTTGTTCATCTTATATAATACAATAGACCCGACGTATGTATATATGTATATACATACATACATACATACATAAATACATATATAACATTATTCGAGAAACGTACATTGCCTTTCATAACTCGAGATATTACGACTTGACGGCCGTAAAAGGTAATTCGTATCGCCAGGAACGCTTTCTATTATATATGTATTATGTTATGGCATTATAAATCCATCGGTGCCGTAAACGTCTCCCACCCAACCCCATTTCCATCATCCCAGTCCTCACTCCCACCGTGATACTTCAACTCATTTCGAAAACCTCCAAACCCATCCTTTACGTATATAACATACTGCATATGTACATACCTACATAATCATTTCGTTTCAACGAAAAATCAATTTTCAAGAGCGTCCTCGAAATATTCGTGATTGCGATCGATCGTTCGCAAGAAAAACAAAATTTATCGTTTATCGTTTTTTGAATAAAATTAAGATTGATCGTTGTTCTGTGTACTAATTTAAAAATGAAAGAATACAAAAGAAAAACAATTCTTCTGTATAATTCGTTGTTTAGATTTCATTATTTTGAGTTCCTTTTTTTCTTTTTCTTTTTTTTTTTTTTTTTTTTTTTTAACAAGACAAACATCGATATATAAATAAAAAAAATTGTAAATGGGAGACAAAAGTTTTTAAACGATTTTAAAAATCAATTATACCATTTCCAATAGATCAATTTCTTTTTTTTTCCTTTTTTTTTTTTTTTTTTTTATTTCCAGATATCAAAAAAGTTTCTAGAGACGTCCACTTTACGACGTAACGAATAATAAAGGTCCATAAAGGATAATTGATTTTTAAAATCGCCTGATAAGAAACATTTTTGTACTGATCTCTCCATAAAAGACTGACGTAATCGCGTCCATTTATTTCATCCATTTATCGAACGTAAGGAGAGCTTCGTTAATATATTCCCTATCGTGAGGTATGAAAGGGCCAACAATCCCTTGTGGTACATTAACATAAAACGTTGGATCAGGAAAGAGGTAAGGGTAAAGAGGAAGAGGAGTATGGGTGAAGAGGGGAAAAGGAGAAGGTAGGGAGGAAAAAAAGGGGGGACCCATTCGGGCGACGGACGACGGTCCATTTAAAAGGATCCATTTGTAAAACCAAGTAGAGGGATTCGCGAGGAGTGGCTGCTTCCTTGCAATTACGTCACCATTCAAAGGGAAGCCGCAGAAAGTTCCTTCCTCCTTTCATCGTCTTGCGTTTACTTCGTCTAAAACGTCTCTTTCTCTCTCTCTTTCTCTCTTAATCTCTCTCTCTCTCTTTCATTTGCTCTTTCTCACTCGTCTCAGAAGACTTTGGCGGCACTAATCGGGCCAAATCGTCCGGTAAATTAATGGCGTCGTCGACTAACTCACGTCGGACAACTCACTTTCTTGTGCCAACGCATACCTAACGTCACTCTTTCCTTAGCCCTCCTCACATATCCTCTCCCTTCCCTTTTTATACGCCCATAGGCGTAATAATATAGTATCTTTCGTTTTCTATATTTGACTTTGCAATAATTTATACGTACGTATTAATGAAACTATTTCTTTTTTTTCTTCTTTTCTTTTTCTTTTTTTTTTTTTTTTTTTTTTTTTTTTATATATATATATATATAGAAAAACGAGTTCAATCATTTTAATCGCCATTAATTTCTGATCTAAACGTACGGGATAAGTGATATTATTTTAATTCATTGTGTTGTTTATTCAAGAATTGAAAAGACGAATTTATCGAAATTTAAATGTCATTATAGATCGATCGATCCTTCAAATATTTGACGAATTTATATATATATATATATATATATATATATATATAAAATAAAAAAAAAATTGAATTTGTTCTTCATATATAGTTATAAATATCCATTAACATCATGCTTTCTAAGAAGATAAGAAAAATCAATACGTTCTTGTAGGTTCTTCTTAAAAGCCGGCGCCCATGGTGGCGTCGTACACCAACACGTGCACTCCTCTAAGAAGAAGAAGAAGAAGAAGAAGAAGAAGAAGAAGAAGAAGAAGAAGAAGAAGAAGATGACGAAAAAAAAAAGAAAAGGAAAAGAAGGAAGAAGAAAAGAAAAAAAAGAAGAAGACGCAGACGTCTTATCGTCGATGAAAATGCGTGTCTTCGTGTGTATACTTTTGTGTATGTGTGTGTATGTGTGTTTGTATATGCTTCTGTGTGTGTGTGTGTGTGTGTGTATGTGCGTGGGACCGAAACGGGACGGAACGGAACGGTGGCAGACTGCCGGGCGTCGCGACGCTCGGTATCGAACCGTACGTAGCGTTATCGTCGAATTCGAGAGAGATAGTCAGACAGACGGAGACAGACAGAGACAGAGACAGAGACAGAGAGAGAGAGAGAGAGAGAGAAAAAGAGAGATATGCTCGTAACACGTGCCACCTTTTCTAACCATCTCTGCTTCTTTTTCTCTCTATCTATCTATCTATCTATCTATTTATCTATCTATCTATTTATCTATCTATCATCTATCTTTCTCTGGTAACAGTAAATGGTGTCCATAGAAACAAATGAACGTGTCCCTATCACTACGAATAAAATTTTATATCGAATTACGTGAGCAAAATTCTCGATAATTTTTTGACAATTCGTCAAACCAATTCGTCAAACGTACGATCAAACGGTACGTCAAACAAATGTCATCTCTCTGTCCCTTTTTCTCTCGCATTAATCAAATAGATCGTTCAAGTTAATCTTTGAGTTACGTCGAGAAACTCGAAATTTTGATAATATTTAGATTACGTATTCCTTTTTTTGTACGTTTTTTTAGAACGAACATAATTTTATTAATCGTAATATCCTCGAGATATATAAATTCGACGTGATTATTTTTTTCTTTTTTTCTTTTTTATCAAAGTTTTTTTCTTTTTCCTCTTTTTTATTGATATAGGTATGTATGCAGATAGATAATTAGATATATGTAATTTCTAATAAATAATATTCATGTATTTTATGTATATATATATATATATATATTTATATTTATATTATATTTCATTTAAAATGTAAATATATATATATATATATATATATATATATGTATATGTTTCCTGGCTGCTTTATACATCATAGCGTTTTATCGTATCGACTATTTCCGGGAAAATATTTTGATAAAAAGTAACATAAAAGACTTACATATATCTATGCGAGACATCACCCAACCCAACTCATCTCTTTAAATAGCTTAGGGAAAAAAAAAATATATATATATATATATACACGAAATTGCAAACACGCGAAATTCGTAGCAAGCAGCCGAACAAGCAGTAGAGACAAATGTTTCGCGAAACGAAACCGTAGAAAATAAACTAAGGATAAGAAAAGAGATAAAGACAAAGGGAAAGAGGAAGAAATATTTATATCTTTGTCACACGCACGATGGTGTGTTATAAAATTTGAGTGCTACGTCGTTGATGGTACGAAAGTAATAAGAGTATATCAAATAAACTTTTCACATTATCGCGATGACACGTAAATATAA